CACACACACACGCACACAAGCACACAAGGACACACTAACCACACAAATGCTTTCACTGAAAGCCTTCTGAGATTAAGGATTATTGAGCCTACTTGTCCAGAGTCAGGATCTAGCTTCACTTTCAAACTGGGATCTTCACGCTGAAGGCACTTCAGTGCATGATCCAAATCTAGGGAATAAACAATCATTATTGTTATGTTTCTTTGTTAAAACAACTTAGTCAACCATTCCACGCCTTTTCTAAGTGCAGTGACTAAGACTGACAAATTCACTGTTCTTAAGAATTCACAATCTAGCAGCGGAGAGAAATTTCACGCTGCTATACTGCTTTGTGGAGAACACAGCAGTGACACGATAGTGATGGGAGGCTATGGGAGATTGGGTGATCTAGCAAAGTCTCTCTAGACTGATTTTGGTAAAGACACAAGCAGTAGAGAAAGCAAAATCCTGAGGAAAACGTGCCCCAGGCCCTGGCACGGCTGTGCACGGAGCAGAGTGGGGATGGAAAACAGCCAGACAGAGGTGAGTAGATCCGGGCAGGCAAGGGAAGGTTAGTGAGAGAGGAGCAGGGGGGGCGGGTAGCAAGGACATACTGGGAAGCCATTGGACGGGTTTAAGCAGGGCAGTCGCATGATCAAATTATGTTTTGGAAAGATCACTCTAGAAGGTAATACAGTAACAAGATAACACTTTCAGAAACAAAGGCAATAATAAGAAACTTGCAAAAGGAGGTTAAAACCACAACCAAAGAGAAAACAAGACTATAACACATTACAATGACAAATGCATTTGCATGCATATGCAAATGATCCTTTATATCAATTAACTAAACTATACCCTCTCTTTATAAAGGTGTTAAAATGTTTCATAAAATACAGCTCAAGAGATGAGCAATGAATTAACGAGTTAAGCTTATCAGTCACAGACATAGGATGTTCTTAGGGATATAAGCCAGGGATCCCAGACCGTGTTCTCCAACAAGACAGCCAGTAGTCTGGAACCTAGTGTCTGTAGTTCTAACCAATTCGAATTGATATGTGCTGCCCATGTAAAATACACACCATGTTGCAAAGATCTGCTAGGAAGACACGAATGTAAACTGCCTCATTCAGAACGTTTCTTATTGATCACACTTGCAAAGGCGTTCCTGGATGGTGCCAATGGCAAGAACTCAACTACGAGCGGAAAGGTCAGGGGTTCAAACCCACTCAGCTGTGACTCATCTGAGAAGCCTGGCCATGTGTTTCCAAAAACTCTCAGCCTTGAGAACCCCATGGAGCAGGTGCCATAAGTCAGAGCAAACACAACAGCAACTAGCAGCAGCAGCACGTGTTGAAAGAGCATTTCAGTAGCAGCTGGGCAGATGAATGATTTGCACCCCCTAGGGACAGCTCAAGGAGCCTGCTGGGATAAAAACAGTGACACAGCATTGTAACATGGGTGCCCAGAATAGAAGGAAGGGGGGAGTGTTCTCCTCTGCAAGGCCCAAGTCCACCGAGCCAAAGCCCAGGAACGAGGCGTCCTTTGATCACAAAGCTATTTCCTCTAATGTAAAGGCCAGTGGCCTTGGATTTTAATTGGCTCATACAATTTACAACAGCATTATTTGAATTTAGGTGCCTATACAATGCTTAAGATATAAATAGACCTTCACAAATAATATTTAAATAAAGAGCTCTTAGGTTGTTTTCTGTGGGCAGTCTCTGCCTTAAGCACCTGGCTCCTCGTCATGGACACCAGGAAGCCACTGGTGGATTTCAAGCGGGCAGTAACATGACCTGATTATGCTTGCATGTGTGGTCGCTTGTATGTCACTGGGCACCCAGAGTCATGTGACCCCATCCTTCTCTAGCAGAGCGAGGACTACGCCTAGCTGGTCTCCGCATTATAAGGCAACAGGAAACTGCTGCAGCACCCACCTCAACTTAATTGCTCTTCCTCTGCCAAATGGGCAACACCCAATTCCTTCCATCTGTCCGCGCTTTCTTTCCTGCCAGCACTCAGGGAATGCCATCATGATGGTGAAGACAGGGGAACCCGACTTGACTACGGACCTCCCTCTTTCTTTCCACTGGGTCTTCAGGAAGACGCGGGAGGCACGCCACCAGTTGAATTTGTATCTCCACCGAGTCTCCCTTTTTCCAAGGGGCAAAATGGTTCCTAAACCCACTGCTAGAACTGGAAGGTCCGTCCTTAAACAGGGGAATATAGAAACTCAGTGCAGAGCAAAGAGGGAGGTCACATGAGGCGAAGCTTGAGCTGAAGCCTCCGCAAGAGTAATCATTTCCATGCAGACACGTTCAGGAGGTAGCTGTACCATGCTGAGAGGACAGGTGGGAAGAAAGGGCAATGCGGGAAGCACGGCCCAGGTAAGCAATCTGAACTCCATGACTATGAGTATCAGCTGTTTTCATCTGTATGAACGAGGCGGGTGGTTCAGCAGGAAGGAGAAAGAAGCTTCAAGAGATGAAGTCAGGCAAGAAGGCTGGCTGGTACGCAGGGGCTGCTAGCTGCTCATCATTTTCTTCTGTTTCGGTCTAGCTAAAAGATGGCATCTTCCAGACTCGCTTGTAATTGGGTAGCTATATTTCTATGTCTTGACCAATGACATGTGAGCAATACTTATAGGAAGTCTTCTTACAAGGGAAGGGGCACATCTTCTCCCCTTATTCCTTCCAGTGCTCAGCAATTCCAACCTGGGGCCCCAGGTGCCAGCAGCCAACAGGGCATGAGAGGGCCCAGGAGCTCTGGTGGACGGAAAGACAAGCGGCTAACATGGAGGCCCACCCACCAGCCCCTGGATTACCAACTCCAGGCTTCTTGTACAAGAGACAGAAAGAAACTTCTGTCTCATTAAAGCAACTCTTACCTCTTTTCTGTTATATGAAACCAAATCTAACTGTAAATGACACAGTTCGAATCTTGGGCTTTATATATTGTATTGAGGAGTTTGGGTTTTACCTGATTAGTAATGAGAAACCACTAAAGAATTTTGAGCTAAAATGTTAAAGAATATGGAATGTAATACTCAGAAAGTCAAATGCGAGTGGCCAGAGTATATAAAAATATTCACTGAATTCTAGAAATTGAGCTGGGGGAAAATGGAGAAATGATGGCGAGGAACTGAATTGTGTACATTAGCAGAAACGGTCTCTTTTGTGCTCAAAGGAGGCCTCGTTCCTGGGAGGTAGCTTGGCGGACGTGGGCCTTGCAGAGGAGAACACTTCCCAGCAGTCCCTCACTCCGTTTTTCCAGCAGATCTGTACATTCCTTGTCGTCTGCTGTGGTAATCACCCCGTGCTTCTTTTCTTGACACCCATGTTACAATGCTGTGTCAATGTTTTTACCCCAGCAGGCTCCTTCAGCTGTCCCTAGGGGGTGCTGTTCTACCTTCTAACTATAGTGAAGGAGTAAATGGTCCTGGGACCAATTACTTAGACTCCTACAGATCGAACCACAGCGTAAGGAGGGAGGAGGCATGAGACAAGCAGTCAAGATCTAATCAAAGAAACAGATTTATAAAGAACAAAACACTGGAAATAATGGAGACCAACTACAATAAATTGGGATCAAACTTAACTCAATGACTTCAGAATTATTTTCCGGGAATACTGCAGAGCACTAATTGACTGATACACCAGTCCTATTTGTGCCTACCTGGTTGCTTGGCCACTGATGGGGGTTCTATGGTACAGAAGAAAACAGGCTCTGGGACCTCGACCCCAGCCAGCAGCAGTCTCTGTGCTTCCTGGTTGTGTCTGGGTGGCTCAGCTCCCCCCTGCTTGGCTCGATGCGCGGCAGCTAAGGCAGACGACTTGGATGACACGATGGTGTCTCCGGTGGCTGTCTGGAAGCGGACAAGGTGGTGTGGAACAAAACAGGCTGGCGGTAAGCATTCCACCTCCAACGAGAAGTACGAACTTAGAGGAAGTTTGACATGGCCTCTTCCTCTCAGCAGAACTTGAGAGACAAATCCACATAGTTGAACATAACTTTTTAGAGGTAAAGCTAATTTATATTCTAAAGTGTGAACTTTATCCAAAACAATGCTGTAAAAAATTCACCACCCAATAATTATTTAGTAAAACAAATAAAATCCCTCCCTAAGTTTCCAATCTTGTTAAGACAGGTTAGCTAAAAATGTACCATATTTTCTCTTTTCTTTTTTAGGGCTGAATGATTGGGTTAATTTCTCTTCGGTTTAAAACTTCCTTTCTTAAAGAAAGGCTCGTATTTCTTATTTTATGTATTCTCTCTTCACAAAGAGCTGTATGTGTGTTTTAATAGGTTTCATGGTTTTTTAAAAAAATCATTTTTTGGGGGGCTCATACAACTCTTATCACAATCCATATATCCATCATGTCAAGCATATTTGTACATTTGTTGCCCTCATCATTCTCAAAACATTTGCTTTCTACTTGAGCCCTTGGTATCAGCTCCTCATTTTACCCCCTCCCTCCACAGCCTCCCGCCCTCATGAACCATTGATAATTTATAAATTATTATTTTGTCTTATCTTACACTGTCTGACGTCTCCCTTCACCCACTTTTCTGTTCTCCCTCCCCTAGGGAGGAGGTTACATGTAGATCCTTGTAATCGGTTCCTCCTTTCTACCCCTCCTTTCCTCCACCCTCCCAATATAGCCACTCTCACCACTGGTCCTGAAGGGATCATCTGCTGTCCTGGATTCCCTGTGTTTCCAGTTCCTATCTATGTACAGTATTTTTCTATCAATAAGACTCATTTACTACTTTACAGAATCCTCGAAAACATGCAATTAACCAAGTGCCCCAACTATGCAAATCGGTAGCTTGCTCTTGGAGACACCAGTTACGTCTTAAGTGTTGACACTGTTATATTACAAATGTTGGTGCCATGTCCTCTCTGGACTGTCGGTCCTAGTGAAGCAGCAGTCCGCAGGTCTCTGACAGCATCACTTTCCAACCCTCCAGAGACAGGAGCCTGGTCTTGGGGAGGACAAACCAAAAGAAAAAATCCCTCTCTTTCATCGAGTTGGTTCTAACTCACAGTGACCCTGTGGGACAGGGTAGGACTGCCCCTGTGGGTTTCCGAGACGGTGACTCTTTATGGGAGTAGAGAGCCTGGTTGCCCTTGCAGATCAGAGGCCAGCACAGAACCACCGCACCACCAGGGCTTCCGGGGGCCATTTTCATGCAGAAGCCCAAGATCCTGGCCGTGGGAAGTTTCTACTAAAGGATTTTGAAACTTGCCATTTGTCATGAAGAGCTTACAAGTAACATCAGGAGTAACAAGGTTGACACTAACTGCCGCAAAATACCAATATTCAAGGAGCACATTGTAGTTGGCTTAATCCATTTAGAAGGAAAATATCATTAAATTTGACCCCTTCAAAACACATAAAACTCAAATTGCACAACAGAAAAGGTTAGAGGGGCCCCTGAGGAGGTAGTGGGCCTCGTCAATGACGTCAGGACTGACGCGGAGACAGACGGAGGGCGAGAGGGGCTGTGCACGTTGAAGAACGTGCTGAGTGTCACCGAGATGGACGTGGGGCAACCGTGGATTGGTGAGTGGTCTGTGACGTGCATTCTCAGCAGCACCAACAAAGCAGATACGATTCAAAAGGGAGTGAAGCAGTCCACCCTTCCATCCATCCATCCTACCCATGTCTAAGGAGTGTCCACTGTGTGCAATCTGGGCCGGAGGGCAGAGCACTAATCAAAACAGACTAAAACCTCATCCTCTTGAAGCCCTCATTGGCAAATTATCCCTAGCTATTACATGACCCATTACAAGGTTAAATTATGTACCAGGATCTAAGCAGGAAGAACACCTAAACGGGGTCATCTTTCCTGACAACGCGCATGGTGTTATTATGCGGTTGGGCCAGCTCCCACTCAGTGACCTTCTGTTTAACAGCACAATACTGCCCAGTCCTGTACCAGCTTCATGAAACACGTATCTGTATCTACATACCGAGTCTTACTTAACTTGGATTTGAACTGTTTGTATTCTCTCCAGTGGCTTTCTGCTGCTACAAAATGACCTACTTTTCAAGGGAGAGTTTAAATAGTGATCTCCTAGAGACACCACTTGGTCACTTACGTGTTTACACCCAACAGTCAAAGCAATGTTACCAGCAGTCAGTGAAGGAATCTCTACATGTTGGTCAGCAAATGGCAAGAGCAGACGGCTTATTCTTTCCCTGTAAAGCCACAACTTACATTAGTAAAAGTGCTTGTAAAGAAGTAATGCATTCTTAGGAAACAACCTAAGTGTCTACTTACGTGCAGTTTCCATTAATATTGTGGACGGCTGACTGGGGTTTTAGTGAGCCTGAGTAGATGCGCATAAAAACCAGTGGTCCTCGATGCTTGTCATGAAGAACTTTAAATGCCAGTGCACATAAGTCACCCTCATACCACTGCCTACAAGGTAAAGAAGGCATTCCAGAGAGGCCTTTAAAATACAATTGCTATACATCTGTACCGATGACATCAGAATTACTGCAGAAATACACACTTGCTGTCCTACAAACACCCCTCTTCTGTTTCAGGAGTTAGCCAGCCCGTTATATACTGTCACTATGCACCCCTCTTCCTCCACGGAGCTAACTCTTTAGAAGAGACAGAACCATTTGTTCCTCAAACGAAAAATAATGGATTCTTGTCCTCTCATTGCAAATTATTCCATTGTCAAGAGCTCCCTCCTCAAAGAATATACCTGGACACATCACACCACTTCTTAAAAAGCCTGCAGAGAGGAAACAAATAGGTATGTTCCAATGATCACTATCATGCTTTCCTCTCATGTCGAGTTGCATAAATACACACATCTAAATTATAAACTTGAAATGGCTTACCCACCCAATATTCTTCTAGAATGATGTTCTAAACTGGCATTATTTGATAGGTTTCAGAACGTTTGAACCCTCCTGAAATGCCAGGCCTTGTGCATATGTCCATCTTTCTGAAGAGAAACTCCATTTTTTATTCACTCCCAAAGAGTCCATGATTTGATTGTACAATTCTCCTTAATATGGGTGAGCTACTGACGTCAACTCTTATGTGAACTATATGCAATAAAACTGTTTTAAAGAAACAGAGTCCATGACCCACAGTAGGTTGTCTATGCTGTTAGGTGCCAGGTGTCAAGTTGGTTCCAACTCACAGTGCCCCATGGCACAACACAACCAAACACTGCTTCGTCCTGCCCCATCCTGACAATCCTGGCTGCTTTGGCCCACTGCTGTGCTGCTGCTTCAAGCTCGCTGAAGAGGGCCTTCCGCTTTTGAGCTGACTTTTTACTTTCCCAAGACCGATGTCCTTCTGGAACTGCTTCCTCGTGATAATATGTCCAAAGAACATGAGATAAAGTCTTGCCAGCCTCACTTCTAAGGTGTATTCTGTCCACACTTCTTCCAAGACAGATTTGTTCTTTCTTCAGACAGTCCAGAGCTAGACACCTCCATTACAGCACTTCTCCAATCTGCCTGCTCTTCTCTCCCACTTTCAATCTTATTAAACACATAAAATACCGCAGGCCACACTATTCCATTCGCTTTCTTATCATTAACTTACTTACTCCTTATAACAACCCTATAAGATAGATCCTGTTATTCTCTGCATTTTACAGATGAGAGGCTACTCAACTTGCCCAGTCTGACATCGAGTCGACGGAAGAACAGAGATGCACAGCCAGGATGTACAGAGTCTGCATGCATCACTATTCACCATGTGGTCTCTCCAGTTCAGATATGGAGCAGGGTGACTGATGTCCTCCTCACCAGAATTAAAGCCTCCTTTCCCTGCATATCTGCACAATGGTCACTCAGATTAGAGGACTGATTACTGAGTGCAAAATCATTAGTGACAACAGGAGGAAAACCAGGACCTGTCTTTATAGCCACAAAATAGTTTGAGCTTATGAAAAATCTTGAAATCTCAATGAATATAAGTAGGTCTTCAGAATATTTTTCAAACATCCCTACATACTAGTAGCTAGCATATTTCCTTTCTCCCTTCACTAAGATGGTCAGGGTAACACAGCCATACATTCTTAGCTTCATCAGTAAACACGGCAGATGGCCGTTTCAAGTACAGATGGTCATAGTTCTGTATGATTTACAGTGGCATTCTTCACCTGTCTTAATGATTCCAAAATGGTGATTTCACTACTCATCATACAGCAGGGTCTCTTTCCCCAGGCTATCATTTCCCTCAGTGTGCGTGTGTACTTACAGAAACTCATAGCTGCGCTCTTCAGGGGAAGGCAAGTACATAGTAACAGCATCTAACAAGGGCTGTATCCCTTTGTTTCTCAGGGCACTTCCACAAAGCACTGGCACCGCTGTCTGAGCCACGGTAACTCTGTGTATTGCAGCCTGTAGCTATAAAGCAGAGAGAAAAGCACTGCGTGTGTAGTCTCCTGGTCTCTGCCAAAATCTCTAAGCCCTTCCCTAACTGCCTAGCCAAAGTAACACTCCCCAGCACACACCCGCCACTCAATTGTGTGGTGGTGCTGGGTGGCAATGAATTGATTTTCAAGGCACAGTGACCCCACATGGCAGCACAGAGGGCCTCCGAAGGTTCCCGAGGCTACATTCTTATGGCAGCAGAACTTTACCTGTGCAGCCACTAGATGGGTTCGAACTGCTAACCTTTGGTTAGCAGCAAGCGCTTAACCACTGAGCCACAAGAGCTCCTGTAGAATATATCAAATACTCAAAAGATTTTCTTGAATAAATGAACATATGCACTTGTGATTTAACACTATCTAATGGAAGAACTGGTCAGGGAAAAATATGTATAAATCTGAGTTATAATTTCTTCAGATGAATTACAACTACAATAAACAAAATCTGAAGGAAAATGAGAAATAAAAGAAGTAGCATTTTTAAAAACACCTCAGGGGGATTGAGTACAGTCTGAACCCCCCACAGAGGGGCGAACCAAGAAGGGAACACAACAGATCAGCAACGGGAGAAACGCAAAGCCACAAAGCCCCTGAGAGCCTCCGAAGTAGACCTCGGGCTACAAGGGGCAGTTCCCAGAACCCCCAGGACCGGCGGGGAGATAGTCATAAAGGTCGGCGGACAGACCTGGAGTTATCTATGCTTTTCCGGGTTGTACTTTCAAGTTATTTTTCTTTATATATATATGTTTTTTCTATTTCTTTTTATTCAATTTTTTGTTTTCTTTTTGTGTTGCCTAAGTTATGGTCAGTTTGCCTACCTATATAAGATAGGCACGGGAAGCAAGCCCAAGCAGAAAGCAACGGGACCGAAGGTTCCAGAGGGACTTGGGGAGAGGAGGCAAGGGAAGGGAGCGGTGAGCAAACAACGCCATAGACAGGGGAACAACTAGGGAATGAAAATCAACAACGAGGAGGATGTAGAGATCCCGGTGGTGTTGGAGCAACAACAATCTAGCTGAGAGGAATTATTAAGAGGCAGAAGGGTGAGCATGATGGTGCAGCAGAAGAAAGGTAAAAGGAAACAGAGGAATAATCTAGGAATCAAAGCAATGGATAGAGGCATAAACATAGGTGTGCACTTATGTAAATATATTAATTCATAACAAATAGAGGTACTGGCATGGGTACATATATTTATATGGCAATACATTGAGGAAATGGATGGACTTTGGACCTCTGCTTAAGCCCTCCCTCAATGCAAGAACACTTTGTTCTAACAACGTGGCATTCTGTGATGCTCACCCTCCTGTCACCATCGCTGAGGGCAAATGGGTGGATAAGCAAATGTGGTGAAGAAAGCTGATGGTGCCCATCTACCAAAAGATATAGCATCTGGGGTCTTAAAGGCTTGAAGTTAAACAAGCAACCATCTAGCAGAGAAGCAACAAGCCCACACAGAAGTAGCACATCAGCCTGTGTGATCACGAGGTGTCAACGGGATCAGGTAACAGGTATCAGAAGACCACAAACAAACATACAGTTGAGAACAAGAGGGCTTGGAGCAAAGACCCAAAATCCATCTGTAGACAATGGGACATCTTCTCACATAAGGGTTGCAAGGAAGGGAGGAGTCAACCGGGGAGAAGTATAGCACCCTTGAAACACAATATTCCTCCGGTTCCTTGAGGCTTCCTCAACCTTTACTATCATGACCCCAATCCTACCTTTCACTGTGGGCTAGACCAGAGCATTTACAAGGTACGGATCACAGCTCAGGACACACGGAATCCAGGTCAGATAAACTTCTCACGAATGGGAATGGGAGTGGGGATACCAGGAGGGGAGGGGAAGGTGGGAGAGGAGTGGGGAAGAAACTGTGGGGGAAGGGAGACAGCAGGCAGTGTAAGATTTAAAAAAAAGATATGACATTAATAATAATTTATAATTTTTCAACCGGTCATGAGGGAGGGAGTAGGGAGAGATAGTAAAAAGCTGATACCAAGGGCTTAAATGAAATGTAAATGTTTAGAAAATAGTGATGGCAATATATGTACAAATGTGTTTGATACAATTGATATATGGATTGTAATAAGAGCTGTAAGAGCCCCCAATAAAACGATCTTAAAAAAAAAAATAGACCTCAGACCCCAAGAAAAGCTTGGGGATGCTTATGACACTGTTAAAAGAAGAAGTGGTAGGCTCTTTGTAAACTTGTGAGTCCTTTGGAAACAGAACACATGTGACGTGACTATAAAATATAATAGCTATCGCAGTTAAGCACTCCACTGCGCAACAGTAAGAAATTCCAAGGATGATGGCATTCCATTCACTTTTTCCTGGGCTCATTTCAAGTCACTTGAAAATAATCTCTATATCTTATATGTTCTTTTCTTGAATAACAAATAGTTGAATTTGGTGAGCTTAGCACTAGTCTCATTTAACACTAGAAACAAACACCCTACTTAGCACCTTATGTGCTTCAAAGAATCCCAATGCCATCAGTGTTTTACTTGCCTACTCTCTGATTGGATGCATTAAAAAAGAAAACAGAAATATAAAGACCTGTAGTAAATTATCAATCAAGATTTAAACCAACTGAGAGGGAGGGTGGGAAGGAGGGACAGACAGAGAGAGGAGAGAAATGATCACTGTAATAGGAATGACTTCATTTTAATGTTCTTCTCATTTTTGTTTAAGCCAGCATTTTCCACCAGTTGCAAAGTTAAACAAAACACCCAAGACAAAGAAACTGAATCACATCTCATTATTTGAGCAAAGTAATTGAAAAACTAAAATTTACCTTTTCAGCTGGTAACAAATCAAAATTTTCACTGAACTCTCCTAATACCAAGTCAGCAAATTCATCATCCAAATCTGCAACCTGCAAAGAAAAGCTGAGTTGTATAACTTGCATTTACTCTCCTGGTTATTAACTTAAGTCTAAACATCATAAATATGCGTCATCCAAATAGCTCAAACCAGCTACATGATCGACCTGGTCCAAGCCAAGCAACAAAAAGGAAAAGGGAAAGGGCTTCATTATTTTCAGAGACTGAAAACGAAAGATGTGCTATTATGACTGAGGCTGTAACTCCTCACAGGACAGAAAGCCTCACCTTCTCCCACGTAGGGGCTAGTGGGTTCAAATAGCTTACCTTGAGGGTAGTAACCTAAAGCATAAGCCAGTACACTGCCAGGGCTCACAAGAGAGTCATACTGAAACAAACCATAAAGCTTATCTGATTATAACTGTGCATTGAAAGAATCTATTTAATTTGGGGAAAAGGAATCATTACAACAACAAAAATTAAAATGCACTTATATAGTTCATATTCTTTTCATCTGAAAATATAACTGGCAATTTCACGTTTACAGCAGTGCAAGGACTCAAAATGTTCCAGCCTCGTGGGAGAAATACTTTGAACAGATCTAACCATTGCAGAAATGAACCTAACCACAGTTTAGAGCACAGCTTCATTGACGACTACTCCATATTACAATAACAATGATGATTACAAAGATAATCATCAACAAAAGATGAGGGAAAAACACTCACCATGAAAGAATCTGAGCCAGTTTAATTTTAGAAGTAAACAGCCAAGTTTTAAGTTCCAATAGTTTTCTCTACCGTAAGATTCAAGAAGGTTATTTAAGGTAGTTGAGCCTGTTGCTCTACATACAAACAGTATTCACTCCAAAACCTCTGGGCATCGATTGCATCGATGCTAACTCCTAAGGACCCTATAGAATGGAGTATCGATGCCCAGTGTTCCTAGCCTGTGAATCACTAAGGGATGAGCTGCCAGGCCTCTGCTCCTGCGCAGCCACTTCAAACTGCCAGCCTTCAGTTAGCACCCCAGTGCTTACCCACAGTGCCTTCAGGATTCCGCAATATAAATATTATAAATACGAACAATCATGTTTTCCACTAAAGAATGTAGGTGTGAATGAGATCCAGAGCTATTTGGATTAAAACACACCAACAAAAACCAAACTGATTTTCACTGGGCCACTCTGACTCACAGTGACCCCACAGGACAGGGCAGCACTGCCCCTGTGCCATTCTGAGCCGTCACTCTTTTTCACGGAGAAAGTCTAGTCTTTCTTCCACAGAGCTGCTGGAGCTGGACAGCTCAGCACATAACCACGATGCCACCAGAACGCCTGACCGCTCTCTACTCACTCGTAAAATGAATGGTTTTAACATGTTCATTAAAAAAAATAATGTGACATCTGGTAGTGCAAAAGATGAACATACCTTTGACTCAGAAATTAGGTTTAAATATTAAAAAAATATCTTGCGTATTTTTACAGGAGATATGTGCAAAGATGTTTGCAGTCTCACTATTTATAACAGGAAACAAACTGAAACTCACCACAAGAGAACAAAAGGCACACTCTTATGCTAGGACCTAAAAGATCAAATTGACATGACTGTAGAGCTACACACCCAATATGAGTGGATCGTCAACATAATGTTGAACAATGCAGTAAAATGCCAGGCTAAGTCGGAAAGACTTGCCAGAAGGTTCTAGTTCACAAATGCATGGGCTTACTAAGACAAACTATGTTGAAACAAGTCTCTGTGATCGGCCAATGGCTGCAGACCAGTTATCTCAGTCGAACACTTGTCCGCGTCTCAGTATGCCTTCAAAGGAAGGTCCCATCAAACAGTGCCTCTGAGCTGATCGGCTGGAATGAGTCAACTCAAGGCACAGCTTAACTAAGGGTATGTCAACTGGTTTTTTGGGTTTCAGAGGGGTAATTTTGATAGATTTTCTTGAAGGACACAAGACAATCATGGGCGCTTATTAGGAAACCTGTGTTGATGAGGAAAAGGCCAGGAAAGTTGCCCAAGGAGGTTTTGGTTTGTTTTGTTGTGTTTGTTTTTTTTCTGTCAGGAAAATGCCACTTCTCATTCTGAGGGTCACAAGAGATAAGGAAATTTCACTGGGAGACTTTCCCCCACACACCCTACAGCTCTGATCTTGCCCATTTGGACTTATTTTTGTTCCCCAAATTCAAGGAACATTTAAAAGGAAAAAATTTGAGTCCCGGTGCTCCAAGATGTGAATGCAACATGCCGGTGTGGAGTAGGGAACCAGTGGAGAGGTCTGAGGGGCCGGCCCCAATCCTAACTACTACATGGACAACTGCCCCTCCCCCCAGAAGAATGTACTTCAGAGGACAGCACGGAAGCTGCACCTCAGGGAGAGGGACATGTCTGAACAGAGCACACGGTAAAAATGAAGGGGGAGGAAGAGAGAGTGGAGCACATCCTGGCCCACCAAGCCTTGACAATGAGATTGACGCTCGGAGCAGCCAATCCACAGAGAAGACCATATGGCCAGCCCCACAATGAGACACACATCCCTCACTGACCCATAGCCCGACAGGGACAACACTGGAGACACAGTGTGGGAATTGCGCCCAATCTGATCCCCCCACAACAAGGCAAAACACTAAGGGCGTGCAAGGGGAACAGAGCAACGAAATACCCAGGGAATAGCAAAAATAGACTTTGGGGCCAGGGCATGGCACCTCATCAGACTCGACCGGATAACACTCCTAAAGGCCAACAAACAGTC